GACACATTGTTTTAAATGTAAATCTTCATTTAACCTCTAGTTTTTATCTTCTACATTTAATCTTACAATAGGAAAATTAATTCGAGAGAAAGATAGCATGGGGCAATTGTCAAGAGTTAGTTTTTCATCAACCGTATAATCTTCCAGCCTGTTTGGAATTCTGAAACTGGGGAATGACCTTAAGGATATCTTTGGAAAATGTCTCCGATAATTCAAACAACTGAAGAATTGGCATTAGTGCCGGTACAGGATTCTAAGGCTTTGCATTTTTTTTTTTTTTAAATGCTTTTCCATAAAGCAATCTAGAAACAGTGTCTGGGAAGTGTTTTTGGAGGTAACAATTTAGAAATGTTCTTCATGGTTTTTTTCAGACGCTTCACCTAGGAGTCGTACTCAATGTAAAAAGAAAGTCTTCCTTCCTTATCCCTTCCCAGTGGGACAGAACAGTGATCTTTATTATAGGAAAACTCTTCTTGGTCATTGTATCTCCTGGGCTTCTCTGGCATTTAATAAGAATGTGGTCAGTGTTCTGTAGACAGAACGGAACAGCTCCAAGTTTATTTATTTTCCTTTGAAATTGTTTGTGAAAACTGGACAATTATTTATTCTTCCCTCAACCCCAAATTAAAAAAAAAAAAAATCAGGCAAAAAATTCATCCTATGGTAGAAATAGCTTACTAATGGTTTCTGAGGGGGGAAAATACCCCACTTTGCAACAAATGGAGATTTTATTTTAGGCTTCAAATGACAAATTGCTGTAGGAAAAGCATGTATAAAAGAAATCGGGATAATATTCTTAAAAAGAAAATATGGCTAGAAGACATTCCAGAGCCATACTGGGGGAGTTCTAAGAAGTTTGTTCACCAACTTCTTTGTGCGGCAAAAAAAGGAATTTCCATAGCTTCCCTTGAACCACATGAAATACAAAATAGCTCTTAAAGAAATGTACATAAAAGTGTAATGGGACCCTTCCATAGAGATTTGAGGTTTTAAATTATGTTAGGGGAAAGTAATGCATTCTGCGTTGATATATTCACTATTTTACTTTCCAACACAGATATCCTTTTCAGTTTTTAAGTGAGAAGTTATTGAAAAGATGTACATTTCTCAAGTTTTCTCCATGTGAAATACTGAAATAAATCACATTAGTTTATCATTATTTGTTAATCTCCATTTGGGGCCATGTGTCGGAAGCTATTAGTGCCTCTTTCCAACCCTTATGTAATTTTGGAGAAAAATGATGACAATACTCGGCCATCACAGTGGAAAGAAGAGCTTGTAGGAAAATGTCTCCACCAGTAGTTGTCGCTGGCTTTCTGTGTGTGACGTTGGCCATACGGATAGGAAGACCCAGTGTGGATTCTTTCCTGTTCCATTTACTCACCAGTCATCCTTCCTGGTTGGGTCACGCTCCGGCAACATCTTAAGGATGCGGTGCCCTGGAACGTTAAGGAACTATCTTTCCTATTGTCCTGGAAAACAGCTCTGGTAGATACAGCTGTGTCTTCTCCATTCTCCAGCAGATATATTTCTAGGTCTTAGATTTAACTCTTGTCCTAAAGTATGTCATAATTCAGGATTGCCAAAGGTTGCTTCATAAACAACATCATAAGCTGAATTTTGCTTATTGGAAGGACTCATGTCTTCTCTTTTTCGGATATTCAACGTTTTCTCCAATGGACAAAATTATTACTGCTTTCAAAGTTATGCAAACAAAGAAACATATGGCAGAGGATGAAAAATGGGTTTATCACAAGAATGCACGGGTAGTTCATGGGAGAGTGTGCGTGTTTTGAATAACATTTCGCTTTTACTCTTCAACTGTAATTGTGTACAGAGTATTCCTTTTCTCCCTTAGAGTGACATAATATTAACTAAGCTTTATGTAAGTATTTTCATGAGGGAGGCCATTTTAATTTAAAATATATTTCCTTTTTAAACCCAGTGCCATTGGCCATTTTTCTTCTCTGGATTAATGTAATTACAAAATTGCTTTTTCTAAGTACGTGTTTTTACTCAGCACCGCTTATTTACAGTAAAATATTTGTGCCCTGAGTCATTACCCCTCTTTCATTGAAATAGTTACATTTTCCATATTTTTATTTTCCCCATCTATTCTTGTGCATCATTCCAGTAGACCAAGAGATACCCCTGATTTGAAAGGATAAACTTGACACTGAATGACCTCTACTTTAGATTCTTCTAAGAGACACAAATGAGAATTTGGGCTGAAATAAAATACTTAATAAATTAGTATGTCAACAGCATTTTTATGAATTTTCCAAACATATACTGTAAAATCATCTGCACAAACTCAAAGGCCAAAAAAAAGAAGACAAAAACCCATGCAGGTGGAAGAACATTCAGGAAAAAACTCAAATGCATTAGGGGTGACATTCACAGTTTTTAAAAGGAGAAAAATGAAGCAATCAACGGACCATAAATGGCGTCGGGTAGGGCCCATGAGAACCCCATGTTCTAGAGTCTTCTATCGTCCTGGAGCCCTGAATCCTACTGATTCTTTATTTTGTGACTTTTGCTTTCTCCAAAGCCCCAGTAAAATAAATCTATGCTCTGTCACATATGGTTATTTTTTAGAATATAGGTCGTTTTTAAAGCTTTTAAAAAAGCTATTCCACCACATAACTCAAGGAAATGTAGATCTCCTGGATCATCTTTTAAAATGTGGGTATTGCTGTGTCGCTTTCTGCACAGCGGCCCCCCTTTCTCACATGCTCACACACACACAGCAGATGAAAGGCAGACAAGGAAACAGAGACTAGCTCTTAAGGGGAAAGGTGAGGGGAATGGGTGGCTTGTTAAAATACAGGAAGAAAGCGTAATCCCTCGATGGTGGTAAGCAGACCACCCCCTTCTTTTGTCTCCTGGGGCTAATTGAAGATAGATCAGCTTAAAGCTGCATTTCAAGAAGATTTTGTTTGGCTGCGAGGATTATGCAGACCTTTCCCAAAGGGAATTGTGGCATCGTTGGTTTTGAAATCTAATTTAGGCTGCCTCTTCTGGGATGCAAGAGTGGTGCCTCTCTCTCCTTGATGGAACCCCTACACCCAGCATTTTGTGGTCTGCATTCCCTCTGGGGACAGCACGAGGCCAGAGATGGGGCTTGGCGTTCACCGCGACTCTCCCCTCCTGCTCTTCTTTATACATTTAATTTCTTCCTCAGATAAAACAGGAATATTTTTTAAATAATTTTTAAAAATGTTTTTACTTATTTTTGAGAGATAGAGCACGAGCGGGGGAGGGGCAGAGAGGGAGAGAGGCGCAGAATGCGAAGCAGATTCTGAGCTGTCAGCACAGAGCCGGGTGCGGGGCTCGAACGCGTGAACGGTGAGGTCATGACCTGGGCGGAAGTGAGATGCTCAACCAAATGAGCCCTCCAGGCGCCCCAACACGATGGGAATATTATGGCAATGCGTGCAGTTGTGGGCTCCGGCGCTAAAACACTAGGTAAACAGGTACTATATTTTGGAGGTTCTCCACAACTGTACCTGATTTCTTCCTCAACGGCTTCTCAACCCCTGCTGCTAGATCAGAGCAGCCGAGAAAAATCCCTCCCTCTCTCTCGGGTGGCAGTTTTCCAGCTGCCAAATTAATTAGCCACTTACTTCCATCACAAGGGGCTGCAAGGGTCAGGGAGCTTGAGTTCCTGAAACACCTCCCCATGCGCCTCTGAAAGTTGTTCTGTTAGCACAAGGTGGTTTTTTTCTTTTCTTTTTAAAGTTCTCTTTCTCTCCAGGGTTATTTATAAAACTGAAGGGAGTTTTTGGAACGTGTTTGCATTTCAGACTTTTCTTTCCTTTTCACACTTCTTATATATGAAATGTTTAGAGAAGAAGCGAAACAGCAGGCAATGGAGGCAGTTACTTGGAGAGTTGGTTACCACTCCCTTCCTTCCTTCAGCCAGCCAGCCAGCCAGCCAGCCATCCATCCATCCATCCATCCATCCATCCATCCTTCCCTCTCCCTCTTTCCTTCCCCCTCCGTCCCTTCCTCCTTCCCTCCTTCACTACCTAATATGTGACAAGTACCATGTTAGGTTCTAGAACTATAAAGGCAAGTAGATTATTAGCCTCAAAACTCTCATAACTCAAAGTAGGTGAGCAAAGTCATGATCGCGTAGTGGGAGGGATGAATAAAGCACTTGCGAGCATCAGGGAGGGAGTAATTATTTCTAATTAAGTGAAAGATGGCTAAGTTAGGGAGAGGAACTTCCTGGAGAGAGAATGCTGTGAAAGGAGACATAGGCATCTTAAAATACACACCAAGAATTTCATTTGAATCCATTGAGCTTTTTAAAATATGTAAGCAGGGGCACCTGGGTGGCTTAGTCGGTTAAGCGTCCGACTTTCGCTTGGGTCATGATCTCGCGGTTCGTGGGTTCGAGCCCCGCATCGGGCTCTGTGCTGACTGCCAGCTGAGAGCCTGGAGCCTGTTTCAGTCTGTGACTCCCTCTCTCTCTGACCCTCCTCTGCTCACGCTGTCTCTCTCTCTCTCCTAGAAATAAATAAAACATTAAAAAAAATTAAAAAAAAAATATAAGCAAATATGTGGTTAAAAGTCACATGTGAAACTTCCAGATGTGATACATGATTAGCCAGTGCTCTATACCAGCAGATAGAATTTCTCCGTCTGTCCCTCCTTCCCTCCCCCCTTTCTTTGAAATTCTAGCCCGATTTTATCACCAGAGGCGTGGTGAGTCTCTCCACTTCTTTTTCTTTTCCCTTCCTCCCTCTTTCTCTTTCCTCCCCCTGCCTTTTTTTTTTTTTTTTTCCTGAAACTGCAGTCAGATGCTATCACTGGGCATGAGGTGGGGTCCGCGCCCCTTTGCCTCTCGCTCAGCGTCTCCTGGATGGCCCCGTCACAGCAGATTTCCAAAGAAATAAAAACGGGACCTTTCTTTCCAGGGACTCTTTCAGCTTTCAGCTCTGATCGGGTCGCCCTGCGTTCTTACTTCCTCCCCATCTGCCTCTTTCTTCTAGGTAATGGGACTGCTGACCAACCACGGTGGTGTACCCCACCAGCCCCAGACCGATTATGCTCTCTCCCCGCTCACCGGGGGGCTGGAACCTACCACCACCGTGTCGGCCAGCTGCAGCCAGAGACTAGACCACATGAAGAGCTTGGACAGTCTGCCCACCTCTCAGTCCTACTGCCCACCCACCTATAGCACCACGGGCTACAGTATGGACCCCGTCACCGGCTACCAATACGGGCAGTATGGACAAAGTAAGCCTTGGTCTTTCTGCGGGGGGGGGGGGGGGGTGATTCCTCCCGAAAGGGTGAAAAATCTCCATGCTTCCTTAAGAAAGGGGCGGCAGTCGCCCCATTAGCCCTTACAGCCCGGGATCAGTGTCGCGGCAAAGCCAGCCGATGGTCCCGGCAAGGGCTCCCTGGCACAATTATTTTCTGAACTGATGTCAACAACATCTTGCGGTTATTAATTGCCGAGATGCGAAGCCCGATTGTCACGAGGTAAAACACGAGGGTTGGCCCAAATGAAATAACCGCTGGCATTAGAAACACATGTTCCTAATGAGGTCAGCTCAAGGATCATATGGGGTATAATCCCAAGGACACAGACTTGTGTCAGACTTGTCCTGGGAATAAAAATATTGGCCTCGATCCTTTGATACCGCGGTATTAAATATGACATTGACAGCCTGTAGCTGATTTTGCCTCTCGCTGTGAATTGTCCCGGCGTGACCCAAAACGCTGCGTGTGTTTCCTTACAGGTGCCTTTCATTATCTCAAGCCAGATATCGCATAAGTGAACTGTCCACCCAGAGCTCAAACCGGCCCTGTTTCCGGTCTCCACAGCCTACACATGAAGAATCTTCTCCGAAAACAAAATTCACCCTTTTGGGGGGCGGTCTTGACAGGAGACCAAGAAGAGTGATTTTTTTTTTTTCTCCGCCTCCGGTAGTTGGTCTCAAATTCTTTTGAACATGTTGGACAAGTGCGGTGGAGGAAAGGAAAGGAAGGCCTGGAACAGTAAAAAGACAAACACAACATTTGAAGGCAACGATTTCACATGGCTACATATCACATACCCCAACTCTTCAGTGCTGATGATCAAGGAGCTATAACATTCCATTTCTGTGCGTGCGTGGTGTGCGTGCGTGCGTGTGTGCATGCGTGCGTGTGTGTCAGAGATTTATCTGGACTGGTTCAGGCAAGCAGAATATTTCTAAAGTCAAGTCAGAGAGTACTCTAAAGTATGACATGTTTGATGTTCGATGCTGACACGCCTGCGATTTTAAAACTGCTCACGGAACGAAGCAGGAATGGAGGAATCCTTGACTTTTACACACTGGAAATCGATATAAAAATAAATGGCACCGTTTTTTTTTAGGACGTTAGACTAGATGTAAAGGACCTCCCAAATAAATTATTTGTGATCTTACCCTCCTCTGTAGCCCGGGTGTCAATAAATAATGTCCCGGGCAGGCAGCCTTGCTAACAGGATATGGGATAACAGGAAGAAAGGCTTGTTTTCTTTCTCGGTGTGGGGAGAGGTATGGGAGATTTTCCCCAGTTCATTTTCATTTTGAAGCCAACCTGGCCGGGGCGGGGGGGCGGGCGCGGTGGAGAAGAAGTGACGTGCATTCCCACAGCTGCTTATCGGTGTGCAATACTGAGTACCTCACGGACGCTTTGGCAGTGGCCAGGGCCGTAGAAACAGAATCAGAACTCTATTTTTGCAGGTGCTTTATTTTCGCAGCCCATGATTCATTGCGGTAGAATGCATGACGTTCGCCATTTAATGGACAGCCGACACCCGGCTTGCTCCTTTCGACTAGAGACCGTGTTCGAGAATAATGCTTTTAAAATGACGACGTTTACATTCTTCTCTTTTCTATGAAAGGCAGGGCGAGAACAGAAATGTCCACGTGGTTCTCACGTACTCTTAAATTATACAAGGAAATCCAGTTTGAAAAGACTATAGGAACTGAGGTTTACATACATTTGCGTGGTGACATTTTAGAATGTCAATAAATTTGTTTTTCGAGATGTTACGAGGAACAAGAAGGTGGAAGGCAGTGTTATTTATTTCTTTCTATTCTTGGAACCACGAACGAGGTAGGCACAGGTTCATTCCCTTTAGAGTTGAGGACGATGACGTAGTGGGTTAGTGAGATTAGACGTAGCTCCAGTTTAGTTCATACGTTGGTCATAGAAGGTGATGGGTCAAGAGAAGCGGTCTCTTTGTGTTGCAGCCTCAACCAACAACAATGTGTTGTAAAAATGTCTTTCATGTAAAAAGTGCAGTAAATATTTACTATTTATAATGAATAAACAGTTATGAAAACTTGCCCAACACTGCTTTTTTGGGGGGAACTGGTGAATGTAGGGTTAATACAAATGTGGGAATGGGAAGTCAACAGAACACATACTTCAGTGACGGCCACTTTTGGATTGGGCTACACCATGGACAGATAGGGTCGCATACCTGACAACCACATTGTCTTGAAGAAGTGTGACTCAGTCCACTTATTAAATGACTGAAGGTTTTTTTAAAAAATGTTTGTTTGTTTATTTATTTATTTAGAGAGGGAGAGAGAGAAACTCAATAGGCTTCTTGCTGTCAGTGCAGAGCCCAATGTGGGGCTCGAACTCATGATTCGTGAGATGGTGATCTGAGCAGAGATCAAGAGGCAGATGCTTAACCGACTGAGCCACCCAGGCACCCCTGAAGGCTTTATTTTTGTATATGTGGTACTTAAACAGACCCCTTCACCCACCTTTCTCTTCCTGTGGTTCTCCGAGTGATCGAATTCCTTAGCTATCCCTTGGGAGCGTGCCTTCCTCCAGAGTATGTTCTTTGTCTTCATCTTCAGCGGTCATCTCCACTGAAATGTTTCTTGAGAGCTTTCATCTTGTGTCATCTATTTTATTTCAGAAGCTTTCTTCACTCTTCCTGAAAAACATTACTGCCTGCTTCATTCATTATTCAGTCCTCCTTCATTCCCCCCTTTCTTTTTCCCCCTCCCTCCCTCTCTCCCGCCAACACTGTTTAAACATTTATGGAGAGTCTAAATGTGCCAGGTATGGTGGTTGGCACTGGTGTTATAGTGATGCTGACAGCTTAGCGGGCTCAGCAGAAGAGTAAATCCACCATCGCAATAAAGCATGAGGACTGTTTCTTTTTTTTCTTTTAAGTTTATTTATTTATATTTGAGAGAGAGCAGGGGAGGGGTAGAGAGAGAGGGAGAGAGAATCCTAAGCAGGCTCCATGCTGTCAGTGCAGAGCCTGACAGGGGGCTCAATCTCACAAACTATGAGATCATGACCTGAGCCCAAATCAAGAGTTGGACGCTCAACCAACTGAGCCACACAGGTGCCCCATGGGGACCGTGTCTATTGAGTAAATAATCATAATACCCTTGGAGACTCTTACTTGTATCTATTTATTGCTCCCAACATCTTATATAAGGCAGATGTCATTAGCATTGCTCTTCCACAGTTGAGGAAACTGAGGTACAAGGCACTTTGGTGAGACCACCCAGTGGCAGAGCTGGGATTTGATTCCAGGTACACTGATTCCAGAGCCTATGTGCTTGAACTCACTCTTTGGGCTCCTCAAGTCCAGTGCGGGAGAACCTTATAGTCAGAAAGTTCTAGAAAAATCTAAAGGAGCACTAATTGCATAAGTAGCTAGCCATGGATGACTATTCAAATTTATAATATAAGTAAATAAAACCAAATAGTCAGTCCCTCAGTTGCACTAGCTGCATCTCGAGTGTGCAATTGCCACATGTAGGCAGAAGCTGCTATATCAGGCAGTGTAGACATGGGATATTTCCATCATTGCAGAAGGTTCTGTTGGTCAGCGCTGAGCTAAGGCATATCTTTTTAAAACCTCAAGGACCTGACGTACAGGAGGTAAAATTTCCAAATTCTTTAAATGTGTCAGGTGTTCTTAGCTCACTTCCAGTCAAATATGTTGCTCTTTTTTTTTGACAATTATCTTTTCCAGGGGTACCTGGCTGGCTCAGTCAGTTGAGCATCTGACTCTTGACTTTGGCTCAGGTCGTGATCTCAGGGTTTGTGAGATCGAGCTCCGAGTCAGACAGACTCTGTGCTGATGGTGTGGAGTCTGCTTAGGGCTCGCTCTCTCTCTCTCTCTCTCAATCTCTGTGCCCCTCCTCTACTTGCTTGCATATTCTCTCCCTCTCTCTCTCAAAAAACATAAATTTTAGGGGAAAAAAAGAGACAATTATCTATTCCAAAAGTGTTTTTTTAAAATGTTTATTTATTTTTGAGAGAGAAAGAGATCGGGGGAAGGGCAGAAAGAGAGGGAGACTGAGAATCCCAACCAGGCTCCCCCCATCAGCATGGAGCCCCGAGCAAAGCTAGAACTCACGAACCATGAGACGATAATTTGGAGCCGAAATCGAGTCAGACGCTTAACCGACTGAGCAACCCAGATGCCCTCAAAAATGTTTTAAGAACAGGAAAGTAAGCTAATCTTTACCATTTTTGTTGCCCTGTTTCATCCTCATGAAATCCTGTGAGGTGGGCATTATTGGCCCCAAATTATAGATAAACTGAGGTCCAGAGTTGTTTATTAGTTGGGCCAAGGTTATATGTAGTCAGAAATAGTAGAAGCAGGCTTTGACTTCTGCTCAGCCTGTCTTTATTTTGCCTTTCCAAATTCTGCTTGCAATGCGCACTTCATTATGTCAACCGATCCTCATGCCAAACTCAAGCTGAAAGCAGGTATTAATAATTCACTCCCAGTAAACGAGAGCAAAAGTCCCAGGAGGTGGGCTTACACAACACAAACCGATCTTCCATATCACTTTCCCCTCCCTCCCCATCTCAGAATTTGGCATGTGTCGTTCTCATCTCTTATTGATATACTTTGCGCCCTTATTTCTGCGTGTCTCTGAGATCTCTTCCTTGGTTCGTATTTCTCACGTTGAAAGTCTTGGTAAATCATCTTTCCCTGACTTATTTTGTTGTTGTTGTTGGTATCTAATCAATCTCCAGAGGAGGAACAAGGACTTGATTCCCCTCAGTCCTGACCGTTCATCAGAGTCCCCGCTTCTATAGTTCCTATAGTTATCCAATTTAGTTTGAAATCTTAAAAGGAAAAATGAAAAATTCGAACTTAAAAGTATTAAGTAACGGATGTACTGATGTCAATTGCTGAGTCATTCCTTCCTCGGTCAATTTTCCTAGGAATAGATACCATAGTTCACATCGGTGATGGAGACAAACGTATTGTTTTCACCCAATTTGGAAAGGTATTTTCACACACACTTGGGTATTTGGGTTAACATCCAATGTTAGGAGGGACCGTCTTAGTCCTGGAAATAGAACCAGAGGAATGGACAAGGTCACTAGTTCGTGACTGTAAGTTTAGAAGGAGTGTTAAGTGGGGGAGGGGATGGATTTATTGATGCCCTCTGTACAGACATGTCATGGAAGACTCTGTGCTCAAAATACATAATTACTATATGGAGCTAGAACCAAGATGTCTATAGAAAGGAAATCTTTTTGGAGATCAAGGCCTGGGCCTCACTCTGAGTAAATGATGTTTGGTGTTTACCTGTTTATGGATAAGGAGGGCTGGTGTCAAGTATTGAGGAGCAGAGCAAGTGACAAGTAGGCAAGTGACAGTGCTTATGCAGAGACCCAAAAGGCCAACCTCAGCCCGCGAGCAGCACTCATGGGTCTGGAGTCGGTGTTGGATAATATGTGAGAGAAAAGGAAGAAACAAAACTAGGCGCAGCCCTCTTGTCAACGCTGGTGACATAAGCT